GGTCAAGAGTTTTTTTATAAACCAAGATGACCAGCAGTCAAGTCGTCGTGGAAGGCTTCGAGAACCTGAAGTCGAAGAGAGCGTGGCAGCACAGGAACCCAGCGCTGACCGTCAGGGTGGTAGACGTGGCGGTAGAGAACCCCATTGTCCAGCTTAAAGTGCAGGAGTTGACGACGAAGTCACGCGTTTTGTGCATGGGAAACTCCCGAAAGGTGATCCATCATGCGTCTGCAGTATGTATCGGATCTCTGGCGGGAGGTAAATGTTGGCTCGTCGTCCGAAAAGGGTTGCGTTATTGATGCGAGCGCATGAACTTTGGTAGATGTGGCAGTTGAGTTCTCACCAATGCTGATATGGGTAGTTGAAAGCGGGCAACGAGATAAAGCGTCGGCGTCTTGATGTTTTCTGCCTGACTTGTAAGTTATGTCAAAGTCGTACTCCTGCAAGCGTAGTATCCACCGACCCAAGCGTCCGGACAAGTTCTTCAGTGTAGAAAGCCAGCATAAGGCATGGTGGTCCGTATAACGATTGTGAAGTGAAGGCCGTGGAGATAGGGACGGAACTTCTGGACCGACCAAACCACAGCCAAACACTCTTGCTCAGTTATCGTGTAGTTCTTTTCGGCAGGGGTGCGTTGCAGAGCCCGAAAGGCATCACGTTGAATTCATATAGCCTGTCGGGGGTTGCGAACGCCGTTTTCTCCTTATCGTCTTCATGCATGGGGGTCTGCCAGTACCCAGAACGCAACTCGATGCATGAAAAGAATTTCGCGCCTTGTAGGGAATCAAAGGCGTCGTCAATGCGTGGCACAGGATACACGTCCTTGCGTGTGATCTTATTGAGCGCCCGGTAGTCCACGCAAAAACGCACAGAGCCATCCTTTTTACGGACCAAAACAATAGGAGAAGACCAAGGGCTGTATAGATGAGGAACGGATGACTTCCCGTTTCAGCATGTCAGCAACGTTTTCTTCTATAATTCTTCTTTCACCTAGAAACACGCGGTAGGGTCAGCGGTGTACGATAGATGTCCCAACAGTATATATATACATATATATATACATATATATATATATATATATATATATATATATATATATATATATATATATATATATATATATTTAGCCGCGGCGGCCGCATTTCGATATAGACGAAAATGCTTCAGGCTCGTGTGGTTAGATTTAGGTGCGCGTTAAAGAACCCTTGGTGGCTGAAATTTCCGGAGTCATCCACTACGGCGTCTTTCATAATCGTATGGTGCTTTTGGGACGTTAAATCCAAACAATCGTAATATTATTATTGATTTATAGCTATATACGCATTGAAGGACCGAGTTTCCCACTATGCGGCGTGCCACATGATCCTAGAAGTCCGCACTAGAGATCTATCGAACGTTTAAGCAGGAAATTGCCAAAGGAAAGGATCTATGATAATACTCGGGGTAGTTCTGTATACTGTTTGAGGCCAGGACGGGAGTATTGCGAACCAATATATATATCGGGCCAAATACGAAGGGGTAGACACGGTATGCAGTGCGTGTGTACAGGAAGAGGAAACTGCAGAACACTTGTTAATGCATGTTCTGTAAAGGGCTTCACCCTATAGTTCAGGATGATGGCGCAGAGTTTTTCAAAGCACTGGGGTTTAGGGACCGGGAGGGCAAAATAGACTTTAAGCGTGTAGAATTAACTATAGAAGGAGGTTATCTGATTGGTGGCTAAAGTCAAGGCACGAGTGAAAATTAAACCCTTCACTGCAAAGTACGAATCCTTAACCACACTATTTAAAAGGAAAAAAATAAATCTAGTTTTTAGTTCATTAAGTATTACGACTTGGTGGCGCTAGCCACCGCCCGATCTAAAGGGTACAGTCATATCCATCCATCCATCCATCCATCCATCCATCCATCCATCCATCCATCCATCCATCCATCCATCCATACATGTTGCCATTATATAACTTTGTGCAGAAAGAACTCGTTCTTCGCTGTATAGACCTACTACAGAGCTCCGAAGCAGTCGCTTCGTCGAAGTCCGTACCGGGGAAGAAAGGATATTCACGTAACGACGTAGGACAAAAAAAAAAAAAGCCACACACATCACTTCGTTGTTTTGCTCACTGCGCATCGATCGCAGTTAAGGTTCTCATAAATTCAAACTAAAATGCCGAAACTTCCATTTTTTTTCTGTTTGTGATGAAGACGCACAACACGCAACCCTCGTCCCGCATCGGCGACTGTGGAACGACACCGTTACGCTATTGTGCCGCCGAGCGTGTCGGCTGATGTCGAGCAGCGATAGCTTTCAGAGGTGCCCGATCCTTGTTAGGCTCGCGCGCCAGAGCGTGGACAAAAGCGCGAGCGGCAACGCGCCTTCGTAAACGTACGAATTGAAACCGTGTACATTCGAGAACGGCATATGCGACGGCTCCACAGATCGCCCGAGACGCGTTCGGGCGTAACGTCGCGCCGCGTATACGGCATACACACGTTCGGTTTTGAACAGGCTTCGCTTCTGCGCATCGTTATCTCGCAGGCCAGCTGTCGTATATATATACATGTGCTGGTGCTTGTGAGATTTTGGCAGCAGCTTTGGTGCTAGTTGCCCGATCACGATGAGCGAAAGCTTAGTGTTTTCACGCAATGTCGTTAAATTTTAATCGAAGCTGTATGTGATTCGCAGAACGCGGCCATGGACAAAACTATCATCATCATCAGCATCAGCCTGACTACGTCCACTGCAGGACAAAGGCCTCTCCCATGTTCCGCCAGTTAGCCCGCTCCTGTGCTTGCTGCTGCCAATTTATGCCCGCAAACTTCTTAATCTCATCTGACCACCTAACCTTCTGTCTCCCCCTAACCCGCTTGCCTTCTCTGGGAATCCAGTTAGTTACCCTTAATGACCAGCGGTTATCCTGTCTACGCGCTACATGCCCGGCTTGTGTCCATTTCCTCTTCTTGATTTCAACTATGATATCCTTAACCCCCGTTTGTTCTCTAATCCACTCTGCTCTCTTCTTGTCTCTTAAGGTTACACCTACCATTTTTCTTTCCATTGCTCGCTGCGTCGTCCTCTATTTAATCTAACCCTCTTTGTAAGTCTCCAAATTTCTGCTTCGTAGCTAAGTACCGGCAAGATACAGCTGTTATGACAGGTAGATTACCACTATCCCTCAAGAGGAAGGTTTATAACAGCTGTTCTAAACCTTCCTCTTGAGGGATAGTGGTAATCTACCTGTCATAATTTGTGATTGCTTGCCAAATGTGCTCTACCCCATTCTTATTCTTCTATAGTTACTTCAATCTCGGACAAAACTATACTCGTGGAATAACAATTTTCGGTGCCCTTCGCCACTGCCGCTGCCACTTTCACAAGTGTTGTGATACTCGGCGGCGGCACTTCCCACCAATTGTTATTTCGTCCCTTTTTCTCGTGACGCAGAGATGGCGCTGCTATCAGCAGTATTCCTTTGAACTCGCTATAGGACGCATGTCTCGTCTGAAAGAAGAGCGGGAATTTAAGAAACGCCAACACATGCGGAAGAAAGCGTGGTGAAAATAGGGGGTTTTGGAAAAACGTTTACTATTGCGGGCGTAGCGGGTGCCATACGAGTTTTAAAATAGCGCCTGCCCTGCCGCAAACCGCAACGCACGATCGCAGCGACACCGTAGCCTCGAAACCAGCGCTTGCGGGCCACATACGGGCCGCGATCGCCGCACGCAATTTCGGATTTTCTGCGTGCGGTCCGCGAACGCCGACTCGTGTTACGACGCATGCGCAGTGGCAGCGACCGCACCGCAAAATGTTTGTGGTGCGATATTCTAAAACTCTCCAACGTCTTGGAGCCACTGCAGCAAAACGTGTAGCCATAGACTCTTTGGTCACAGTAGCGGAAGGGCTCTGAATTTTTTGGCCCATCGTGTCTGCAACGACTGTTTGACGGGTCGAATCTCCCAGCATTTACGGGTCTCCATACGGATCTCCATATTTACGGGTCGACTCTCCCAGCAGCTGCATATACGTTATATGAGCAACAAGAGAAATGCTGCAAAGGTGCGTGCAATTCAATGCATCATTTAAGAAACCCAATCTACTGTGTTCATGCGAGCGTTTTGCGAGCGAACGCAACTTGCTACGCGAAACGTTGGAGACACTAGACAGTAGACCTTTTTCCGAAGAGAAGATCCTTGGCTCATGGCTCTACGCGTCGCAGGCCAGCAAAGCGACGCGGGAATTGCTAAATTTTCTAAAGACGAACGGACTACGCGACCGCTTGTAAGCGTGCAATGGACAAGGTCACATCTACACACACGTTGCCCTTCACTTCTCCCTCTCTTCTCCTTTAATCCCCTCACCCCTTCCCCCAGTGCAGGGTAGCAAACCGGACGTGCGTCTGGTTGACCTCCCTGCCTTTCATTTCTTCCCTTCCTCCCCCCAAGTCGAAGAAATTACTTGGATATCTCCACTGTGACGTCTTCAGTAGCATAGCTGATACCTTTCACGCGTTAAGTGGAGCCCCATGAATTGCACTCAATTCGATTCAATTTCAATGGCATTTCTCCTGATTTTCTATTGCACAATTCATCAAGACTATTCGAGTTAAAATTTTAGTAATTAATTATTAACTATTGGTTTTGTGATACAATCGTCGAGAAACTGTAGCAAAAGCCAACGTGGCAAGCAAGCATAAAATTCATTTTCAAGGATATTACTACAGTATATCAGGCCACATGCTGTACGGTGCCTGTAAGCGATTGAACCACATTCTTCGTCGCACGAGGACTTACAAGATAGGTAGAGATATGCCTTCGAATTATAAGTTTAGTAAACTGCAAAGCCTGGCGAATTGCGAATAGCGCCGCAGGACACGTCCGATGCTCCTCCTTTGCCAGAGCTCATATAGTTAGGCATCACACGTGGACTGCGGCACTTCACGCGCTCACACAGAAGGCGTCATGTCACGCGGGACGAGCACGACTGTGCAGGAGTGGGCACTCGCCTTTTCGTGCTGCTGCATCTGCTTCATGAGGAGGCTCTTCTTCTTGTCCTTGCAGCGCTTGTTCTGGAACCAGACCCTGATGACGCGCGGCGACAGGCCCGTCATCTCGACCAGCTGCTCCTTCATGAGCGCGTCCGGCCTCGGGTTGGCCGCGTAGCAAGTGCGCAGCGTGTGCAGCTGCTTCTCGTTCAGCACCGTCCGCACCCGAGTCGGCTTGTGCGACGCCTGCGCGCCCTCCGCGTGCTGCGCTTGCTGCTTGCTCTGCGGATGGCCCCGAGGCTGGGCGGGCGGCGCCTGGCCGCCGGACCGGGGAACACCGCCGCCGCCCACCGGGACGGGCTCCGCGTTTGCTGCGGGGTCAGAACAAAACAAAAACGTGGTATATTAAGCTCTTGCTTGCCACGACTCGAAGGTGAAAGTCACTTAGAAGTGTCACAGCTTGGACTAGTTGGTGTGACAACATAACGATAGCCATAAAAGTGTGGCAGCTTGGGCTAGTTGGTGTGACAACATAACGATAGCCATAAGAGTGTGGCAGCTTGGGCTAGTTGGTGTGACAACATAACGATAGCCATAAAAGTGTGGCAGCTTGGGCTAGTTGGTGTGACAACATAACGATAGCCATAGAAGTGTGGCAGCTTGGGCTAGTTGGTGTGACAACATAACGATAGCCATAGAAGTGTGGCAGCTTGGGCTAGTTGGTGTGACAACATAACGATAGCCATAGAAGTGTGGCAGCTTGGGCTAGTTGGTGTGACAACATAACGATAACCATAGAATGTGGCAGCTTGGGCTAGTTGGTATGGCATGACGATAGTTATAGCGCGAAAACAAAACGACGACACAGAGACAAGAAGTGTCTTTCGTGTCCTTCTTGTCTCTGTGTCGTCGTTTTGTTTTCGCGATAGCCATAGCGCGAGGACAGAACGACGACACAGAGACGAGAAGGACACGAAGGACACGAGCGCTAACTTCAACTGAGCTTATTGCGCATGCAGAGCGCGAAAATATAGAGGAGACAGTAAACCATGTGGCACAAAGAGTAATAGATGAGTAAGGAAAAAAAACAAAAGCACGGAAAAACGCAAAGCAAAGTCTATAAGTAAACGAAACAGAAAAGTAAGAGTGATATAACCACTTGCGCGCTCTGAAACCTTCGTTTCCTTCTTGTCTCTGTGTGGTCATTCTGTTCTCGCGCTATAGCGATCGTCGTTAAAGTCACTTTTTTTTGAACACGAAAGTGTTTTGTGCCGGTGCTTTTTCCAAGACTTCACTGACGTCATTTCCGCCACGGAAATGACGTCTGTAATATGCACACGAACAGGTGACAGAGAAAAATCAGAATGTAAACGTTTCTTCAATTCTAATGGCATAGGGGTCAAAACCACAATTTCTCGGTCCGCAGCTATAGGTGCCACGGATTGCCTTCTCCACTGCTCTACATATTCACACGCACGAAGTTTTACAAAATGCCTTATATCTCTAACACCTTCTCCCTCTCAGGCATAGGATGATATTTTGCATAATTCGTGTTGACGCCGCCGTCGACGCGTATGTCGAGGACGGCTTTTTCTTAAAAAAAAGCCCGTACACGCGAATTAAAAGTTGTCGGCAGTGCACTTCGCTGTCGTTGGTATTAAATACACAGACTCGGATAAAGACGTGAGCACAGTGACAACTACGTTTCGTTTGTCAATGAAAAAAGCTCTGGTTGATTAGTTGAAACAGTTAGAGATGAAATAAACAGCAAGAGTAGTCGCAAGTCTTGTTAAGACAGCTTTAGCAGCAGCATTCACTGACTGGGATAGCTTTGGCGCCCGTTTTCGACAAATCTCTGCGTGAGTAGAAGGACGCACTCCGGAGACAGAAAAGCCGCTTCTCCTCCGTGCTTTTCGGTCAGCTCAGAGAAGATCCTTGTGTTGTCGGCTTCAATCAAATTTTAATCTTAACACAACACTGCAGTCACCACATCGGTTGCAGTATAATAACTTATTAGCAAGCCTTCTCTATCGTTCTCACACTCACGCACACATGCGCCCACTAAGACACATACTACTATGTCTCCTTGGGGGGGCCAACCACAGCCACGTTAAGGCGAAGCGAGCGGCTCTGAATTTTTCTCATGCTGTTTCTGACTCACACGTCATTTGAAAGAAGTTACCTACCACTAATGGCCATTCTATATATCGCTCGTCTGGTCACGAAAGAGCAGTGGCTCAATTAAACCGCGCCAGAGACAGGCCGTCCTTTGCAGTCGCGCTGGCACGTGCTATCCGGCCGAACGCGTCGCCCAAACGCTGCCCGCCTCGCATGCGAAAACCAATCACGCGCCTTTCTTCGGAGGGGTTCCGCTTCGATCGGTAGCTGCGCCGGGAAAATTGAAGGCGAATGAGAAAGAAAAAAAGAAGGCAAGGACGAAACAAATAAAGCGCGAGTAGAGAGCCACCCCGCGGGCATAAAGTTCGGGAGAAGGCGCGCACTGCACGCTGCTCAGCGAGCCATTTCGCAGGCACGTGCCGGCAGCGGCGCTGCGGTCTCGCACCGCTGACCACGACCACCGAAGGCGCCATCGCCGAGCTCACGTCGCCTACTGCTTCAGCCGGCAGGCGCGCCGGCAGCCGCCCAGGATCGGGTCTCAACGGTGCGCTAGGGCGTGACCGAGTCACGCGCCCCGAGGCGAGCTTGCTCGACGGCCCGCGGTTCGCATGCGTCTCCACCTCTGGGAGCCCTCTTCATCCTGCTGCCCGTGCGTGCACGTTTGTGTACACAGAGACAGGCCGGCGTCTTTTGGGTGAGGCCGCTCACGCGAACGCTGCCCTTGCGCTACGGACAAGTGAGCACGACGTCCACGAACTTCTCCACCATGCACCGAGTGCCTCGCGTAGATCCTTTAGCTGTTCCGTCGAGGCGGGAATTGTATTTACGGTTGCGTGTGGCAGCGTGCGCCCGGCCATTCACTTGCGCGAGCAATATAAAAACGCGAATGCTCAGCTTCGCGGATAAGCGAGATGTGCTCTTCTTGTTCATAACTCGTGCATCCCCAACGGCGATTCGGGAGGCATGCGCGTAAAACGGTTTGTCAGATAATGAAATGTTTGGGGCGTATACAGGAACGTGTAGCTACTGTGCTTGAATTGTTCCTGGCCAGCATTCAACCCACTTTCTATTGGCATGAAATCAACTAATCTTCCCATAGTTTACGTCGAGACGCGACATGATAACGCCACGCGCTACGTGCGCAGCCAGCGAAGATATGGGAGCCCAACTTTACCGTATAAACTAGTAAAACTTGTTCTTGTGCTAGTTAGATACTTGCTTACTGAAGGACACACAAGAAAGGACGCGCACCATCAAGGAGTTAGGGATTCAAGAAAGGATCTATCCTTGATGGCGCCCTCTCCTGTTCTGTCTCGAATCCTTCCCTGATGGTAAGCGTTTTTGTGTTTCACTAACCATATATGTATTTTCGATTACTCCTAGGTTATTCGAGTCTAAACAAGTCGACCTTTCGTCAGTTGCGAGCGACAACTGAACGTCGCTACATTATCCAGCGCCACACAGCACCAGTGAAATAATGTCGAAGTAAACTGGGCATCACGTTGAGAAGCAGTAGAAGCAAATAAAAATGCGACCTGTACTTGTCACGAAGCAATATTGTGAGCAGCGTGAGAATTCCTGTATCACTCCAAAACTTTCAGTGACAAATGCCCGTCGACTCTTCGTGCACGCATACGAAATCGCAAAAAGAAAAAAAAAAGACCTTATGTTGGTAGCGAATTCTCCAACCGTGTTTTCCGAGCCCTGCCATGAGCAATCCTCAAATCATGCTCGTTTTGAAGCGTCAATTTCGTCATCAGTGACGTCGTCGACTGTCAGTTAGAGCATTCAAAGCCCCGCAGAGTTTCGAATGCATATATATAGCCGACAACTCACTCAGTGTGTCAAGAACACACCTCGCAAAGATGACGACAGCAAATACACAGAGCGCTCGTGTGTGCGTCGGCTTTAGTTTATTCTGCCTTGACTGTGTTGATGCAGCTTTTTCTCGTATGAGCGTGCACCCGCATGCCTCGCAGTTTTTTTTTTTTGTTTGCACATTCGGCGTTTGGGAGAAATGGACTCCACCACAGTTGTGGAGGTTCCCCAACGGCCGGCCTTCCGCTCACTCTGCACCACTGCGCAGAGAAGCGCTATATAAAGACAGCTCTAATGCAGCGTCATCCGAACCTTGTGTCAGTTAAAACGTGCCAGAACGAGCCACGAATAGCTGATAGGAGGGGATGGGGACGGGATAAGGAAGGAGGGCGAGGGGGCAGCACGAAGCCGCGGGAAAAACCTCGCTGCTGGCACTCTTCGGGGTTCTCCGCGAGGGGCGCTCCCGTAACGCGATCTCCGACCAAACATGGCCCTGTTTATTCACCTGATGACATTCTCACGAGCCAAGCCATGGCGGCTTCCTTTTGTGCGACGGGATGGCTCCGAGTTCGCATCCTACTCGCTGCATCGCGTCCTCGCTCCCAGTGTAGGGAACGAGCCTGACGTGTGGCTTGCGGACCTTCTTTAGTTAGTTCGTTTTTTTATCCCCTTAAATTCTCACAAGCTGTCCGTCCAGCAGGACTTGTATAAGCGTGCTGACAGTGAGAGGACAGGGAGCCTACGGGAGCGTCAGTTCTGTCACGTGCTCGCACTCACGCTCGGGTGCCGACCGTTTCTGACTGCTAGCAGCCGTAAAGCCCCGAAACAATCCCGAATAGGGAATGCTAAAACCCGGGGGGGAAGGGGACGGGGGTGGCGCTGTTCTGACTCTTCACTCCCTACGGCGCCATCTTCACAATGAAAAACAACACGATAACGAAACGCAAGAGCGTAAAACAAAGACCCGGAGGAAGGGAGCAGATAAAACGTCGCCGTAATTCGCGGGAAGCGCAAGAAAAGTGCGCGAACTGCGGAGTAATAAAATGAAGGAAACAAAAAAAAAAACCCGCACGCGAAGTGCTGGCGTCGGGCGGTGCCGCGGAGAGTCGGATTCGAGACGAGAACAGATAGAAAGAAATTAAAACAACTACAATTGCAAGCGGAGCTTCGGGAGAGCGTCCCCGAACTTGTATGCTCTCTCTTAGCAAAGAGCTTTTCTGCATGGACAGCGGCTGAATGGGGCGCGCTCAGTTTAAAAAAAAGAGAGAAGAGCGGACGGGGAGAAAACGCGCCGGCGGCGGCAATGTGTGCGCAAAAGACGAGGGACGAGGGTGCGAGAACTGGTAAGCGATCCAGAGCGGCTGCCCCTGCCGCTTGCTTCTGCTTGGGTTGTCCCTACCTCCCCCCCCTCTCTCTCAATCTCGGCATCTGCCTG